ATTTTTCCTTTATGTAGTACCAAGAATGAAGGTGACTGTACATTTTTATGACGTATTTTGTATTTTGATCTGGATTGATCTGGTTTGATAACTGTAGCACGTAACAGAAGTATTTACAAAAAGAATAATAAAATAAAAAGTTTTCATTTAGCTAAATCAGTTTTTAAAATTTAACAGTGGTAGTGCCCGCTTTAACATCTTAGCACTGCAGGGCCGGCACGCCCGGTGTAATACCACGACCACACAGAAGACAGGCGTGAAATGGAAGCAATTCCGTGTTTCGTCTGATGTGAGTGTGGTGCCGGAGGCCTAATTTAAGTCCCTTTCCCTTTACCACCCTTTTCTTATAAAGAGAGGTTGGGAAGAGGAAGTGGATTTGACGGTGGAGGAGATGCATAGGAAGGGGAAATATCCTCTTTATGTGCGTCTCCTCCTCCGTCGGATAAGGGTAGGCAACGCATCTGCAATTGCGGATGTCTATGGGCAGCGGTCGCTTCGCCATTTTGGCGATTTCAGGTGGCCGCTTGCTCGTTTGACACCTTAAGTTATAAAAAAAAAGAATATAATTTAATTTATAGCCTAAGTGTTCTAAGTTCCCTTGGACCTCTCGAAATCAATTTGTTAATGACCTCGTAAGTAATAACTTGTTTGAAGTAAAGGCGGTCGTAATAAGCAGCTTTTCACATACGCTATAATTTAAACAGGAAATTGACTTCATATTTATCCAAGTGGCCTTAGAAAACCTTTTATGTAATTGAAGTAATGTGTACAATTTAGTTTTTTGTTGCTAAGAAAAATGTATCTTTAGTTTAAAAAGGTAAAGCACCTATAACCATTCTGTCTAGTTTAGAAGTTTAGAGCACTAATTGGTGAATCCAATTTCAATAAATCTGATCGCAACTGTCTTACTAAAATTATAAATGCGAAAGTTTAGATGGATGTTTGTTAAAGTTTGTAGGCTCAACGTCTGATCAGATCTCGGTGAAAATTAGCATAGATGTATACGATAGTCTGAGAGAATACACTTGTGTTTTTTTTTATTTCACGCGGCCGAAAACTAGTACAGAATAAATAAAAAAAAAACATTTATCTCAATTAGTCAGGTTGATTTGGCTTTGCAGTTTAACTTTAAATCTAAATAAAAATACCATTGTTTTAAAAGATTACTGGTAATCCAAGATAATGTAAAACAGCTAAAAGATTTAGTTTTAAATAGCGTTGCAAAAAGAGGATGAGTCGACAATGGCCGGACGGATAGTGGCAATTTGTCCAATTCGGTTCAGGTGAGCGGAAAGCGGCTTGCACGCGATGCCCTCAAGGTTTACACAAGTACCAGGAGTACATAAGTTACCTTTGTTGTATCCAGAAATTGACTACACCTCGCTAGATCGTCCTTGAATATTACCCTGAAGTTTTGTGGCTATGAAGAGGGTGGGTGAAAGTATAAGTATATATATGTCGGAAGAAAGGGAAATCAGATATAAGCTGGTAGAATTGTATGAAAGAGTTGTACTTTAGTTGGTACATGTACATTGAATTGTAAAATTGTTATGATTCTTAACAAATTGTGTGTTTTTTTTGATTAACTAATGTAATCATTTTTTATTTGTTACAGAACAGTACACCGATGTGGGAGGAATTCATATCTAAGGCTACAAAACTTCATTCGGCTTTGAAGTAAGTATTTACAACTCTTTTGATATTATTCAGGGACTAGTTGTTGTCCGCGACTTCGTCCACGCAATCTTACTTCATACTAATATTATAAAATGCGAAAGTTTAGATGGATGGATATTTGTTAGAGTTTGTAGCCTAAACTGCTAAACGGATCTCAATGAAATTTGGCACAGATGTAGGGGATAGTCTGGAAGAACACATAGGATACTTGATTCTGTTTTTTTAATACCACGTGGACGGAGTCGCGGGCGAAAGCTAGTATTAATATAAAAAGTAGCCTATAATATGCGATACTGATATGAAAATAGTAGAATCAATTGCGCGTTGAAATAAAAAATATTTTAATTATGAATTTGGAAGCGTGCTAAAATTAGGACATCGTTGACTCAAAGAATGAAATATGAAAATGCTAGACCAAGGCAACAAAGAGTTGCATTTTGACTACAATAGGGTGGTGACTACAATAAGCTATGGGAGTAATTAATGCCTTTTATACGAAATCGAGAGCGAAAAATCTAGCCCTGGTTTGAGATGAATTACAGTAGAAATACAGTTGGAATTGTTAAAATTATTCAACCCAAAATTGTCTTTTACGCTAAATAAATAGATTTGTTTGCAACAAATGAACTACAAAACTTTTAGAACAAATAATAATGCCAATAAATTGTTATGGCATATACACAAGCTATCAATATTGTTATAAAATATTCAAGAATAGAAAACCTCTTGTGTAAAGCTGAAATGAACTGCACAATCATATAAGGTCTTCTCCGTTTGCATTATTTAGAATTTAAAATTCATATTAACATAATATCTTGTAGTCTTCGTATGGCAGCGTTTCTATAACTATATCTATACAATCTATACTTCTATAATCTATAATATATACTATTATAATAAAGCGTAAACACACACTTCGTTGTTGCCTAAGATGTCAGCAATTACAGCACATTTTTGAATAATTCTTTCTTAAATGAAAAGCCCTACTCTTACGCCGAGCTTTAGGCTATTATATTTTCACGCCATTAAACTTTGGGAGTAAATATTTTGGATAAAAGCTCTAATGTGGAAAAGAGACCATATATTGCTGCCAACATCAAGAAAGCAAGATTGCCAAGGTTGTCATGTCATGTCATTTTGACATTTGCTATTGATAATTTGACAAATGTAAACAATAAAATAAAGTTTTTTGAATGAAGCCGCACAGGAAAGCTAATTGTAGGTATCTTGTACAATATCTTTGTGGCTATAAAACGGTTACAGTATCTGTAGATGACCTCTTTGCACGTCCCCATGTATCCAGTTGAATGTGACAATAGTCTTCGTTTAGCGACAATTGGACGATTGGCGAGTGTCATATCGAAGGGAGCGTGCTATATACATATATATCTTTATTACTAAGCTCTGATATAGTTGAAGAAAATAATACGGTGTATCTGCTGATGGAATTCGTCCACGTCAGTTGAAAAAGAATAAAAGTATAGCCTGATATAATCTATGTTACTAAGCCATAACGTAGCATTTGAATGGTGAAAGAATTTTCGAAATCGGTCCTGTAGTTTTTGAGTTATTACAGAACATAGAAAAAAAGGAATCTTTTCTCTTTAAAATATTATATCTTTATATAAGTAAACTCGTCCATATCTAATATTTTTATAAATCTGAAAACTTAAGATAAGCAACAGCGGTTAAAGCGTCTTAGTTTTGGACCGCAACTGCCTAAATGTTTTTCCTGATCATCCTCCCTCATCATAATATTTAAACATATATCTTTTCACAGGTCAGCGTTGGTGGCCATAGCGGCGTTCCTAGATGCCTTCCAGAAAATAGCAGACGCAGCTACGAATGCAAGAGGTAAGCGATAAGTAATAGCTAAACTTGCGTTAAGAAGAATTGCTGTTAAAATTTTCGCAGGCGTCGCTGCGATTCATGTTTAAATGAATTATGCCATGGTTTACACTCAGTTAACACTCAGTTGCAACCAGTTATAATGTAAATCGTAAACAGTTTGCTATTGACCTTTGACTTGACTTATATTTTTTAACCAACATGAATATCTAGTTATTGTAAAAACATTTCTCGGTATCATTTGTCAGCGAGTCGAATTGAAATGTAATTTAATCTAAGTAGGTTTTGTGGCCTATATTCTACATATTTACCAATGTTACTAGACAGGCACAAACTTATAAGTTATATTGTATTACATATACACGTGTGAAACTGAAAAGATACATTTAAATGAAACACAGTATGTTCTAAAATTCTTCTTGATTCTTAAAAATTCTATAAGTACATTTTAATTCTAAACTAAATACACTTTATCTAATTATAAATAAGAGTATTTTATTTATTTTAATCTAAATTAGAGCGTACTTTGACTTAAATTCGTTTCAGTTTTCAGGAGGTAAATAATTCGTTGGTTGATTTTGAATTTTATTTCGTCTGCTCTTAATTATAGTCTATAAATTCTTGATTATTATAAGTTACACCATAAATAAATTAGGCAAAATGCTTTTGGAAATAGGATACTCTAAGTTTGACCCAATTTTCTGGTGTGTTCGATTGCATGCATCGATCGTTACAAGCTCTTCATCTAAGATACAGTCTTTCAAACTTAAGTCATTAATGTGTCAATCCAATCTAAGTATTCATAGACATTAGTATACACTGTTGGTTCACGTACGTCCTTGCAATTAGCAGGTCCATAACTCGCTACACCGACAATCATGTAGTAATTTTCTGATTCAAACATCAAAGGTCCACCAGAATCGGTAACGCAGTCGGATCTCTCGTTGTTACCTCCAGCACATAGTTGTTTGTTTGTTAGTGATGTTGTAGATATAGTCCGTTTGCATGTGGGTATCGGCATGTAAGGTAATTTGGCCTCCATCTTCACATCGTTGTTTATAGAACTCTTGACCCCCCAACCGGCGGTTATGAAGTTTGTGGTGGCGTCGAATTGATTTGCGAAATTGTATCGTGGCAAACAAATTGGACGGATGAAATCTGTGAACAAAATAGTATAGTTAATAACACTATCTCCAAACTATGTAAAATATACAATGTATAGACAGCTTGAAAAAAATCTCTTAACAGTCCCTAAATGAAGCTAAGAATTGTTTCTGGTATACTATATAGGGAGATATTTTGTATTATAAGCAGTGGTGTTCAATATTGAATCAAAACAATCTCGACAGTTCTCACAAATCTTACTTCTTACTAATATTATAAATGCGAATGTTTAGATGGATGGATGGATGTTTGTTAGAGTTTGTAACCTAAATGGCTGAACGGATCTCGATGAAATTTGGGATAGACGTAAAGGATAGTCTGGAACACATAGGTTACTCACTTTTGTTTTTTCTAATTCCACACGGACGAAGTCGCGGGCGAAAGCTAGTTCTCAATAAACGCAAGCCAGGATAAGGGTGACTAGTTCTTAATTTATTTTAGTAATCAAAAGCAATAGTTTCATACCTGAATTTTCAGCAGGCGTAGCAAGCTTCACCAGTCCTATGTCGTGCTGGTATGTGTTCTTGTCGAATAGAGGATGCTTCTCACTCCACTGTACCGCTATCAGAGAGACGGTGACCCTTTCTGTGGCTCCACCATCTACCTCTACGAAGTCTGTGGGGTATGACGTCACGTTGTATTCGGCAAGACGGGCGTTGGCACTGAAATTAGATTTAAAATTAGTAAATTTTTCTTTCGTAACTGATTGTCTGAAATCTACACTTGGGAACAATGATATGTCTAAGTGTAAGTGAAAGATCTTCAAAACCAAGTGAGGAATGAAATCTAAAATTTTGATAATGTATTGAAAACAATGACAGCTATGGAAATAGAAGTTTCTTGCACCACGAAGAATAACGAATAAGGTTGAAGGAGTACGCAAGCTCTTTTTGTCTTTTTTTTTCAATAAGACACGTCTACAACAAAGAGTAGACCAACTATGTACAGGCGTGATTAAAATAAAAAGGTATAACTTACGGTTTTCCATGCGTAGTCTCGATACAATGAGCAGCTGTCAGTATGAAGTTGGGCGAGATCAGACTTCCTCCGCATATGATGCGACCGAAACGATATTCTAAAAGTGCGAGCCACGGGTACTCGTCGATAGCAGCAGTACCGTAATCTGAAACATTATAAGTAACGGACAATTAATTTATATTCGATAGTAGTTTAGGTTTGGTGTAGGTAGAGTTTTAGACATGACTATGGAGTAAAAATATTTTTAGATTGAATAAAAGTCAACACCAATGAGAAGGGACTGTGGAAGTGACTTCACTGCCATATCGTATATAAATACGAGAGAGAAGGGATGAATCGCATGTATCAAGACGGACGTTAGTTATGAATATGAAGGGGTACACCGGTAGAGGTAGACCTAGAAAGAGATGGATGAATTGCGTGAAAGGTGACATGATCAAGAAGGCAGTGATGATTGAGATGACGGGTGAGATGCTTTGGAGGACGAAAACCCGTTGCGCCGACCCTACGGGAGTAGGATAAGGCAGGGGAGATGATGATGAGTTTTTATCTAAAACATCTGAATTCATTTTCTATCTCTTTAAGAAAAACTCAGAATATCTTTTGTTTTTTAGGTTTATAAGAGTTATGGTTTACCTCTATTTATCTTAGGTGCAGATACGTCTACACCGCATTCTTCGTTCTGTTTGTTGCCCTCTCTAAGTACGCTGGTCGGTGCGTCATCGCTGGTCTTTTCACGTGTTCCGTTACTTCCCGGTTCGGCAAGATAATTAATGATTTCGGGGAATGGTATAGGTTTGAGGTTCAATTTCTTGGACCATTCCGACTGCAGCGGACAACAAACCTGGAATTAAAAAATCTGGTAATTAGATATTTATAGAAAAAAGGCCAGGATAATAGTGAGCCTAGTCAGATAATTAAAAGTCGCTAATTAAAAAATATTGTATGTGTTTGTTGAAATGAATTAGGAAGTGTTGAAAATAGTGGAAGGAACTTGTTGTGGATAAAATTGGTTTTATAGTAGTGTTAGATTTTAAAACAGAATACGAGGGATGACATTGTTTTGTGTTCGCATGTCAGTGGAAGCCAGTGGTTAGCCTTGCCAACGTAGCAAGTTTGTGTTGCGTCATGCGGGGAATTCTGTCTTAGCCGCTATCATCTCTTTGTTGATAATTTTCCTCCATGCTGGGTTTTGCCCGAACGTGTATCTAAATTTTATAATCGCGTGGATTCCCATATTTTGTATTGCTCTGATTTATAAACGTGTTTAGATAATTATGAATTTATAGGAAAATGCATCTCTCTGTACTTAATTCGCTTTTGGCTCACCTTATTATTATGAATGTTTTTTCCATTCAATTTATGACTGTGTTTAACTATAACTAGCTGTTGCTCCCGACTTCTTGCGAGAAATTAAAAAAAAAATAGTAGAAATGTTGACTACGTTACTCAGTGATAACATAGCTTTTTACTGGTACAAGAATACTTGAAATCTGTCTAGTACTTTTTGATTTATTTTAATAAATACAAAAATACAAATTCTCTGTATAATAGTATAGATAATAAGAATACTATTATTATCGTTTTTTCTCTTTATACTAAACAGTTTTGTTAAATCACTTTTGGATTATATTTCAATTCTGAATCTTTTTTCTATACATTTAACGACTAATCTTCTTTAAATTTAAACTTAACGTTCATTGTAAAGATATACATTTTAAGACAATGCATTTTCCCGTTTGAAGCATGTACTACGTTACTTTAGGATATCTATCGTTTTTGTTACCTTAAGTATTCAAAGCAATTTACCTTATATAAATAATTACTCGTAGTCCCACAGGATGATTCCCGAAGATATAATAATTCATCGTCTGTCTTCGCTTTTTTCTCGCTGACTTCTTTTAATGGCTTGCATTTATCCAAGTATTTACATTCCCCTGTATAACCGTTTGGCATTCTGCATTGTGGATCTGAAAATTAACCAGATTTCGTATTAACTGTTAGAACACTTTCAACTTCCAGGCTTGATATGATATGCTTGGTAACGAATGGTGAGATTCCACCATACCAATGTTGGCTATCTGTATTCAATATGCTATTGGAGTTTTACAAATTGTATCGTTATTAGCGTTTATGTCACAAATTGTCATACTCACTTTGTTGGTTATTATTGCTTTTTTGTACCACAAATATTTGTTTTGTCTTTACGATCTGAGCCTTACAAAGTTTTATTTGATTGTCGTTACTTATATAGTTAGATCCAAAGGTCAATTTAAAGAAGTGCTACGATTTTGAAGAGGTGACAAGAATAAAGTTCGGTGTAGATTAAAAGAAATCCATGCTAATATTATGAAAAGGGAAAATTTATATTTTTTAAATTGAAATAACTAAAAAACTACTAGGCCGATTCCGAAAATACTTTCACCATTAAAAAGCTACGTTATCATCGAGTGACATAGACTAAAATTTTATAATTGCACGTAGGCGAAGTCGCGAATAACAGCTAGTAATAATAAGCAGGTTTCAAGTTTAAGTTCTTAACCTCTAATGATAAGAAGATAAAAGTAACGGTCATAAAATTACCTACAGGGTTCGTTGACTTCTACCGGTTTGTTGCAAATTTGAGACATTTGTGTTTGAGATGCACACTTAAATTACATACTTATATAATAATTCGAAATAATATAAATAAGTAGGATTTTTATTGAGTAGGCTCTGTAAATATTAAACCGATTATTAAGGAGACGTTAGGGCGGATTGCTAGATTAATCGAAACCCTAAAACCCATAAAGTTAACATGGATTACGGTTCGTCAGGTCAAGGGTTCGAATCTGAGATTCAATAATTATCTGTACTAATATTACAAAGACGAAACACTTATATTTATTGCAGTAATTCAAAAACTACTAGGCTGATTTCAAAAGTTCTTTCACCATTAGAAAGGTAATTTATCTGGTAATAACAGATGCTATATTTAGTTTTTTTTTTAATTTCACGAAGACGAAGTTGCTAGCAACAGCTAGTCGTGAATAAACTCGTATCGTAAACTTATTTTGAATTAAAATAATGTCGGTAGTATTTTTATTTACATTAACAATTATCTTCTGTTATGTTTTCAATTGTATGATAATCTGTATATAATTAACACATTTTCTTATTTACATTATTACTGATTATTGCTCTTTTACTGCACAAATTAATACATCACTATCAATAAACAATGCATAACGTAATACTACATTTTTATAATTTGAGTAATACTTACAAGTATAAATATCTCCAACTGTTAACAGTATAATAATACTCGGTATAAGTTTTGTTATCATTGTTGCTGATTTTAGTCGTCGGATCACACGTCCGTTCAACACGGGTTACTGGTGTACACTGACTTGATTGTCAAGTTTACTCCAAGATCTCGTAATGTGTTTCGATAATACAGACGGGAGATGTTGGATATTATCTATGTTAATTAAAAATAATGTTTGTCATTTAAAGTTGTATTAGTAACTTGCTTTTAGACTCGACTTCGACCGCGTAGAATAAAAAAAACAAAAGCCTGTGTGTTCCTCCAGACTATCCTCTATCTCTATGTCAAATTTCATCGAGATCCGTTCAGTCGTTTAAGCTACAAACTCTAACTAATATCCATTGCATCCATCTAAACTTTCACATTTATAATATAAGTAAGGAAGTAAGATTTGGGTAAAAATGCAATTCTGATTAAATCATAGTTTTTTATAAACAATAGTTTTGTTTGCATCTTTTGTATTTGCTATGTATTTTCATGCTATTAAACTTAGGGGATAAATAAATTAAAAAGAAAAAACATACGGAAAAGGGACCATAAACTACAAGCTGCCAACATAGAGTAAGTAAGGTCGCCATGGTTTGTCATCATGTCATGATATTTGGATACTCGAAATTGATAATTTGACAAATGAAGCGCGGATGAAGCCGCACGAGAATAGATAGTTGTTTTATAAAAAGGTCCTCGTTTTATTAAAACTGTTTTATTTCCCTATCAGTATTTAAAAGACAAATATTTGTATGACTAATATTAAATCTACAACAGCATGTAAACAATGAGGTACAGAATTAATTAATTTAATAATGGTTTCCTGTTTATGTAATACATAACTAGGATAATCGGAGAGTTGAAGAAAATATGTTTGTTCAATTCATAGTTAACTAGGTTAAATAAAAAGTAAAAATAAAAACCTCTTTATACATATACATTTACATACAGTGAATATATTTATTTAGCTGCAGGCTCAGCGTGTACCACATGGCTAACGCACGCGGAGCTGATTTTCAGCCTGTCCCTTTGGGCCGCGTTGCGTCACGGCCCAAAGGGACGCGTCGTACGTCACGCTTTAGTATAGCCTAAAGCGTGACGTGATTGTAGAGCTTTTTATATTTTCACGCCATTAAACTTAGGGGGTAAATATTTTGGATAAAAATCCTAATGTGGGAAAGAGACCATAAGTTGCTGCCAACATCAAGGAAGCAATTTTCATTTGTGCATTTGAATTTTGACATTTGATGCGGATGAAGCCGCACTGGAACAGCTAGTCTATTAATACAGCCGATGTTACACAGGGATTAACGTTTTAAAGGCGAACAATTTTTCAAACTTCCGAGTAGTTTTAAAGTGAATTCAATATATACAAAAATGTAAAACTTAACTCTTCATAATATTTAGGCATTTACGGTGGGGCTAAAATGTTACGATAAGATTTTTTTCATGTAATTTACATCTAGGATCTATAAAGTACAGTCGGCTTCATTAATGTTTATGCATTTATGAAGTTGTGTACTCCTTCAATGTCAAAAATTACCATGATTTTTTTATAATATAAGGTGGCAAACGAGCAAGCGGCCACCTGAATCCATCGAAATGGAAAGCGATTGGTACCCATAAACATCTGCAACTGCAGATGCGTTGCCTACCCTTAATTGACGGGGGAGGAGACGCACATAAAGAGGCAATTCCTCCTTCCCATGCGACTCCTCTACCGTCAAAACCACTTTTCCTTCCCATCCTTTCCTCTTAAGAAAAGGGTGGAAAGGAAAAGCGACTACAATTAGGCCTCCGGCACCACACTCATCAAATGTGAATATTCGTATTTGAAAACATATAGACGGCTTTGTGGATTTATATTTGAAACAAAATATTTTCTAAATATTTGCAAATCTACACTATTATAATAAAGCGTAAACACACACTTCTTTGTTGCCTAAGATGTCAGCAATTACAGCATATTTTTGACTAATTCTTTTTTTAATAAAAAGTCCTACACTTACGTCATGATTTAGGCTATATATTTTCACGCCATTAAATTTAGGGAGTAAATATTTTGGATAAAAACCTTAATGTGGGAAAGAGACCATAAGTTGCTGCCAACATCAAGAACAGTGGTAGTGTCCGCTTTAACATCTTAGCACGAATGGGCCGGCACGCCCGGTGTAATACCACGACCACACAGAAAACAGGCGTGAAGTGGAAGCAATTCCGCGTTTCGTCTGATGAGTGTGGTGCCGGAGGCCTAATTTTAGTCCCTTTCCCTTTCCATCCCTTTCTTAAGAGGAAAGGATGGGAAGGGGAAGTGGATTTGACGGTGGAGGAGATGCATAAGAAGGGGAAATATCCTCTTTATGTGCATGTCCTCCTCCGTCGTATAAGGGTAGGCAACGCATCTAAAATTGCGGATGTCTATGGGCAGAAATCGCCTCGCCATTTTGTCGGATTCTAGTGGCCGCTTGCTCGTTTGCCACCTTATGTTATAAAAAAAGAAAGAAAGATTGCTAAGGTTTGTCATGTCATGTCATGTCACATTTGCTATTGATAATTTGACAAATGTAAACAATAAAATAAAATTTGCATAATTTTATGCGGATGAAGCCGCACGGGAACAGCTAGTGTAGACATATTAATGCAGCTGACTGTAAAATTATATATAATCATGTTATACTTCAATCTTTAATTATATACAAATATTATTCTCAACGCGATTCCTCAAATGAACCAGTTTGACGCGATTCATATAGAACCGGTTAAGGCTTCTTGTGTATTTTACGTTAAAATCTGATGTTTCAAACGTAATCACTACTTGTACCACTAGATGTCACTCAGTCGCACACTGGAAATAATAAAAACAACAGTTCAGTTTGTTGTTTGTTTTTGTAGTTTAGCTTTCGCCATGTTAACCGTCAGATTGTATTGTTGAAATATTAACAAGTTTCTCTGTCTCTGAAAAGAGGCGGATCACAACTACATTGAACCAGTAGAATTTTGACGTATTTTTAGAATATATTTCTTGTCTGGTGACGTCACTTGCAAACCAGTTTAACATGTGTATTCGCAGTGGTCGAGGTCGCATATTTCTTACTGCATGTCCTACCTACGAGATATTAATCAATCAGCATAAGAAAATATGTATTCTAAAATGGTATAAATAGCTTTAAACTTAACTGTGTGTGATAGTAAATCATACTAATATTATAAATGCGAAAGTTTAGATGGATGGATGTTTGTTAGAGTTTGTAGCCTAAACGGCTGGACGGATCTCGATGAAACTTGCCATAGTTGTAGAGGATAGTCTGAAAAAACACATTTGCTACTTTCTTTTGCTTTTTTTTAAATCCACGCGGACAGAGTCGCGGTCGAAAACTAGTCTAAAATTATTTTTGTCTTGACAATATCGATACGTTTCATTAAATCTAAAATAAAACAAAAACACACTGTACGAATGATATTCATATTTACATATTTTTGTATCAGACATTTACCTTTTGGGTTTAAAATTTTAAAAATTAGCAATCCTTTGTATCTTTCTCTATGGGTTTGGTATAGTTGTTTGATAGTTGTATCAAATAGCATTATGTTTTATCCAATCCATGTAACGAAACACATTGGTATAAACTCCAGGTATACCTTCTAAGCCGCAACCTTTGATGCCATAGCTCACTATCCCTACTACCACAAATTTTAGGTCGTCCCATTCATGCATCAGAGGCCCTCCTGAATCCCCTCCACAGCTATCTTTCTTCCTAACTCCCCCCGCACAGATCACGTCATCAGTAATGTTGCTGAACACCTTAGAGCAATTCTCTCTTGATACGAATGGTATATGAACTTCCATCTTGATTGTGTTCCTATCAGTTCCATTGCTCCCCCAACCAGCTACAGTTAGTCCTTGGTTTTCAATTAACTCAGCTGTGAAATCTTTAATTGGTAGACATGTTGGCTTGATGAAATCTGAAAATAGAGAAAGTCGAAGACGAATTGGAATTTGCAATAATCGTAGATTTGTTTCAGTAGGAATATTCAGAGAAATATCAAGGCTTAGGATAGCAAATACAGATCCTTTATCTGATGAGTCAAATAAAGCTGTATTTTAGTACCTAATTTTTAAAGGAAAGTGATAGAAAAATCTTTGTATCTATGATTATATACTTTGTTATGCCATATTTTAAAATGAAAATGAAATTCACATGGATTTAGACAAACATTATATTATGCTGCTTTAAAAGCTACCAATACATCTACGACTCGTCTTGTCTTTGAACTTTTTTAAATCCATAAAGACTGGATAAAACCAACAAAGACAGTTTTATAATATACTGTCTCACCTGTAAAAACTACGTCGGTTTTCAGTTTCGAAAGTCCGATGTCATTTCTTAAAGTCGACCTTGAGTACCTCGGGTGGATAATATTCTTTATAATTTCGACAATTTCGACTGTTATACGCACTTGCTCGCCTTTTATGGTTACCACGTCTGTTGGATATGTTGAGGTGTCGTATTCAGAGAGGCGCGCATATTTACTGGAAAATAAGGCAATAGCAGAAATTGTAATTTCCTCAATGTAGTTGCATTTAATTTATACAAGAAATTTCATGGCTTCAAGTATGGTATTCAATTAAAGTTGATTCTATCACAAAAATGATGAAATATGGATGTGTTCTATTTTGGTAGGATATATTAATTGCTAGGTGTGTAACGGACTAAATTTGAGAGAAACTAAGAAAGTTGTAAAGAGTATGAAAAGCATCCGTGCATTAACAAGATATGCTAAGACAAGACCTAGGTTATGGGTTGAGTTATTATACTTACGGTGCTCCTAACGAGACATCAGACAAACAATGGGCAGCAGTGAGGACGAATCGTTCAGTGATCAAACTGCCACCACACAGAGTGTCCCCACCTCGGTATTCTAACAGCACTAGCCATGGATATTGTTCGATGGATGTGATATCACCACCTGATATCAATTTATAAAATCTTTTAAGTAAGAGTAACAGTGGAAGAATTAAACACGACTGTACTTTAGGATTTTCTGGAAAGAATCAGACTGATGTCTTTCATGCTTACTCGAGGCTCTTTTTATTATATGCTAGCGCTTGCTATCAATTCCATCTGATTTGTAGAAAGAGGTCTAAACTTACCAACTAAATTGTACCGTACATGTACCTAAATGTATACGTACCCATTATTCTAGAAGTTAGTTTAACTACATTTCCACATTCTAATATTTTCGCAGTTTCACTTGAGTTATTATTGCCGATTGTGACTCCGTCGATGTCTATTTTGTCGTATGTTAAGTCAAGTCCGACGTCATTCGTCAAAGGATTGATCGTTCTAAATCTTAACCATTCAGTCTCTAAAGGACAGCAAACCTGAAGCATTTAGTAGTTTGTAATAAAACATAGAAGTCCTTGATTGGTTATTTAATTTGAAAATTGGTGGCGTTCTGCTTCCAAAGTTTTAAATTAAACTGAAGATTAAGCATAGGCCGATGAATTTAAATGTGGTATACAATAACTATGAAGCGAGATATTAATGGTTTTTCACAAGAACGTCTGATATAGGAGTAAATAGCGCCAATAGCTGACATACAAGAAAGTTTCATTGATAATTCAATAATTGACATGCAAATCGCTGGCTCGATATTTGATTTATGACAGCTACAAAGTTTGACACTAACACGTTCTCGTATACTGGCATTCCAGCTACAAGTACATTGTAATGCCATGTGTATTCTTGCCCTAATACTCATTTGGACTTTACTCTTACTTTACTTTTGGACTCGTGTAATCCAAACTTACCGTGTATTGATAATCCGAAAAATAGCCACATGAAGACTGTTTGATGTAGAGTACTTCGTCTGCTGTTTTCAGTCTTTTCTTGTTTAGATCCCGTAATGGTTTGCAGTCTTTTAATATTCGACATTGTCCGCCGAAACCGTTTGGTTGTCTGCATAGTTCTGTAATATTGTGTAATAAATATATTGGTTAAAAAATTACCAAGATATAAACTTTAATTTAAAACTAGTTGTTGCCCGCGACTTCACCCAGGCATTATTAATATAAAAAGTGTGCCTATAATATGCTCGTCTATGTCAGCTACCCTCCAGTGAAACTCCGGTCGAAATCGGCCCAGCCGTTTCGAAGTTTATCCGGAACAAACGCGGCTCACTGACAAACATAGAGACAAAAAATTAAATGCGATTTTCGTTATCAGCAACGCAAATACATCATATTCCCGAAATCTGATTTTTTTCTTTTGATATTACAAACTGACACCCAAATTTTATTATATCTGTTGATAGATTCCATTGTACCTTACTTTCTCTCAAATTATTATTTACTAGTGATAGCAAAACAAAGTAAATAATAATTTGAGAGAAAGTAAGGTTAAGTAAAACCAAAGCATAATGTCATCGGCCATCTTGTGATGGCGGCCATTGTGAAATGACCCCTAATTGGATCCCGTTTGGTGATGGCACAAATGTTTATCATTTGTTTGAACATAACTTTGTATATCAACGTTTTGCGAAACACGTGGATGACCAGTAATTATTGAACGAGAATTTATTATCGGAACAGGCTCTATACAAGTTTTTTAACAATTAATAGCGCTATAGAACGGATGGTTCAGTTCAGTTTTAATATTTTTCTTTCTGGCAACAAATTCGGTGGTTTTATAAAATGGAGATGTATTACTCACCAGTGTTGATATAATGTGTTGCAACAACATGGATAAATATAAAGAAAAGTGGTAACTGCATTGATTATTCTTCTCTCTCACACACGAGATGACGCTGATGTAAATGAAATACAACGCTCATGTTCTTTGTTGGTTTTTATTTCTGCGTTAGTTTCACGATGACGTCATCGGGAGGGGGAAGGATGTGTGTCATATTTCCTGTGTCATAATTGATAATGGTGTTTATTTCAGCTTATAAAAACCATAACTTTATACCTAGTAACCGACTTTAGAGACGGTATAATATGTTTTTAAGAACAAGTTGGTATACTTCATACTAATAAAAATGCGAAAGTTTAGATGCATGGATATTGGCAGTTTGTAGCGTAAACTGCTAATCGGATGTAGATGAAATTTGGCATAGAAGTAGAAGATAGTTTGGAAGAACATATAGGCAACTTGCTTTCGTTTTTATAATCCACGCGTGACACAGACGTAAGCGCAGACAAAAGCTAGTGTTTAATTGCTGATTTTTTACTCAAATAAAAAAAATCGGGTTTTATTCGGTATTACTGAGATATCAAGTAATATAATATTGTTATTAATCTAAGCATTTATTTATTCCATTTGCTATTGAAGTTGCAATAAGGAAATACACAGTAATATTAATTGGTTTATTCATGTTAACATCTAATTAAACTATGACTTAATAAACAGCGTTGTTTTGTCGCTGTATATTTTAACAGTGGGCTTCCACTATTGAAAGTGTCGTACAAAAATATGTTCGTTCTTTTTCTGTTGCCCTTCTCTTCTCTGGCGAACCTCATGCATACCATGTTGCCATACCTTATAAAAATTATATCGTAATTTCGTATCCTCTTTGATGTAACGGAAAGTCCAGCGAGAAGAATGTATTGTCAATTAGTAACCATCTACTCATAATGACATGAGTAACATTGCAAAAACCAGTTGTCGAATTTACTAGAAATTAAATTATAAAGCTATATAAACACACAACTTTCTTAAACCGATTTGTTTGTATGACAAAATAATTTCATAGACAACAAAATTGTAAGCCAGTAACATGTGAAAATATTATTTCTCGTTTCTTAAATTCGACTAACACGTTCTATGCTACCAGGATTATTTTCTATGCTATGTTAAAAAAAAAACAATTTTTTAATTCATTGTTTAGTAACTTTTATTGTTTTTAACTTAAGTACTATTTTACAAAGCGTATCACTAAATAAATAAGACTATACAAAAGATAACTTTCTATCGCACTCAGAGTTAAGTTACTATGGGAACAACTTTGTGTGAATTTTAAGTTGTCCATCGCTTAGTTGGTTTGTATCCTATTCGACTATTGTAAATTATTTCTAAAACAAGCCTAAGGTTTATGAAATTAACAAAATCTTCTAAAATAAAAAAATGAAAAACCTACACTAAACTGTTATAATATCCATTACTTGACTAAAGGCCGAAAACTGAAACGACAAATATTTACAGCGTTTGAATAAGGCTTTGTTTAAACTCCAAATTTCATAAAAAAATATCACGTCCCCCAGATTGTAAGATTACGAAGAGAATAGTTTCAAATTCGTTGCAGTATTCGGCCGTAAGAAAAGCATCTAGATATTCAAAATGTTTTTTCATTAATTTGTCTATTTGTATATAATACTAAAATGTAAGGAAATGCATATCTAACGGTACATACCATCCTAAAAAACTATAAATAATGCAGTACAAGTTAGTACAAAAATCATTATACATCGAGATCAAAATTATACATAATATAATACTTATTAATTAACCAATGGTGGGTAAAAAATAAATACTTAAATACTTTAATAATTCGCATTTCAATCTCGTCAAATACCTTACACTAAATTCCTTAAAAAATAAGTTTGTCCATCTTTGATGCGTTTTACCATTGGTTCAGTCAATTTCCACAACTCTATTAATATTCTAATTAACTAAAATTAAGAAAGAAAGTAATGAATGGTTAAAGATAGAGGAAGACTGAGTAAATTATAGATGGATTGTAAAAGAGGATATGCGTAAGAAGAAAGTGGATTCAGAGGCTGAGATATGAGTACCGCGTAAGGAAAAAGGCGGGTTGATATGAATCAACTTAAATTATCGAGGTCATTGCACCAAATTATTTAATAAATACGTCAACATTAAATTTAAGTAACTAACGTCTTTAAGATTTTTAGATCATATTACTCTTAATCCAGTCTAAATATTCATATACGTAAGTATATACTGCTGGCACGTTAACAGTACCACATTCCCTGTAACCATAGCTAACGACACCAATAGCTATGTACGTATTATCTTCTAATTCATACATTAACGGTCCACCGGAATCCCCTGAACAGGAATCTTCTCCACGGTTCCCACCCGCACATATCTGATTATCAATAAGTCTGTTTAATGGATATCTATCTCGACACTGATCGATGGATACATAAGGTACTCTAACGTGTTTTTTGACTTCGCTAAATTGTGATCCGTCACTACCCCAGCCGGCGACAGTAAAATTCAACGGTGTAGTGAAAGTTGGACGATAATCTTGCGTCGGTAGGCATATTGTGCGGATGAATTCTGAAATATGAACAAGTTCGGTTGGTGAGGTATGCCAATTTTCAATTTAAATTGGAAAATATTAAGGCTTGGACTACAGGTATAAAAGGTTGCGATAATAATAAAAAAATACATTAAAGCAAAGTTCATATCTGCATAGACTTGAAATTGTAACAGGCAGGCAGGCAGTTGTATTAGTCGAAGCCATCGTAGACGATCAAGCAAATTTATTGGTGTAGCATTACGGTGTTTATTCAATTTTTTGACGCAAAATTTAGAAATACCTTTTGCATTTGTATTTACTTTTACTAGTCCCGTTTTGCAAGTTCACTTTTTTATTGGTTGATGAGATAAATTAACGAACTAAAAGGAAATAATCAAACAGGAAATACTAGAAATATTCTCACGGTAAGTAATTACTTTTTTGGTGATCTGTAAAGATCACCATACAATTAAGTAAGTGTTTGATTACCTGTAAAAACAACAGCTTGTTTCAATTTAACAAGGCCGATGTCATGATGAAGTTGCGTCCTCGTGTAGTTGGGGTGACGTATAGTTTTCTCTATTGGTACAACGATTCCCGTGATCTCGTCGAATCCACCTCCATCCGTCTCCACGAAATCAGTTGGAAAAGAAGAAGTATTATATTCGGCCAGTCGAGCAAATAACCTGGAAAATGTTCATGTTGATATTATAGTACTTTATTTTTACATTTTCCCGTAAATTGAGAAGCAAAAGGTTAGCGTAGTATGGACATGTTATGCGACGAGACGATGGGGACATAAACCAGAAAGTGTTAAGGATTGAATGTGGATTTTTACAGAGGTAGCAGAAGACCGAAGAAAGTATGGATGGATTGTGTGAAAGGGGATACACTTAAGAAAGTAGTGGATTCAGATATGACGGCTGATAGAGATGTATGGAAGAGCAGCACGTACTGTGCCGACCCTCAATAAGGGATAAGGGCAAGTGGATGATGATATTTTCCCGTAAAGGTCTGCTGGTATTTTCTAACAAAAGTCAGTTCTGGTTTTGAATTTCATTCTTAACAGTGGTAGACTTCAGCAACATTATGTTGCAAGGATGGAGAAGCTCGTCTGTCAAGGGGAAGTAAATTCGATGGAGGAAGGGGAAATATACTATCTGATAACGGCCGTAATTCCTTCGATTAAAACTGAGTAATGCTTCTGCAATTGCAGGATGTGCGTGGGCAATGGTTGCTTCCCTGTTTCGGAGAATTTAAACAGACGCTTGCTCGTTTGCCACAATTTAATACAAAAAAATGTGACATCAAGTCATGTTTGGAATGTGAGAATGAAGTAAGGAAGTGTAAAGTGTGAAAAGTGATAAGGAAGTGTAAATTTGTGGTTGTGATACAGTCAGAATTCAAAAAAATACTTTCTTATCTATGTTTACCTATCTGTTTTCACCGAATCGAGCATGGAGAGTGTACATTATAACTGGGTTTAAAATTAAAATGAACATTATCTTAAAGTAACTTACGGTAAATTTTCGTTTTTCATGCAATGCGCTGCAGTTAGAATGAATCTGGATGAAATTAGACCGCCGCCGCAAAGGGTGAAACCTTTTGCATATTCGAGCAATACCAGCCATGGATATTGGTCGATCGCCGCTGGGCCTCCTCCTAAAAAAATGGAAATATAAATATTAATAAACAGCTTAACAATTTTCACTGTTGTCGATGAAAATAAAATTATATATAACATGGCTGTATCTTGCGAATTCGTTCGGGTGACATTACAGTGATACTGGTAACTTAGCTATTTAATGGTGAAGGATTTTTATTAAATCGGCCAAGTAGTTTTTGAGTTCTAACAATATATACAAAAATACATACTTTCCTCTTTGTAATATCAAGTATAGATTGATTTTGTTTTTTCCAAATGTACTTTAATTTTTCATCTATCCTGATTTAAGAGCTTTTAAATTGAACTTTCGATAGTAAAAGCTAACAAATTGATTTTTACTTGTCAGTGGGTTTCGAGTGTAATTTTTATTGATTCCTATAATATTCCTAGACATACACAAAACAGGGACTACAATCGAATCCAACAGTTAGAATGGATAAGGATTTGTTTAGTTGCTTTTGTACTTACCAATTATTCTATTGGCATTAGATGTGTCTTTTCCACATTCTGCATTATCTTGTATCGGTACGTTAGAAATATTGTCTGTATTTCCATTATTAGGTGGGTCTTTGTCGTCATTTATACCCCTTGTGTCTAATTCTTCAATGCCATTGTCATTGATTGGTACGGGTTTTTCTTTCAAATCTGTCACATACGTTTTGATTTCCTCATATAATACAGGCTTTACAATACTATCGAAGTTGGACCACTGCGATATCGGTGGACAGCAAATCTAAAGACAACATACAATTAGTTACAAATTCTATACAGCCACTGAAAGGTGTTTAACAGTTTGGCCAAAATCGTTACTTATATTTGTAAAAGTCAAGAAAGCACGATGCAAGGATTAAATTCATTCCTCTCTTTTCTATATTTTATTGAGTAATTCATTAAAGCATTAATTGTAAGTTCCCATGTTTGTTTCTGAGCCCTTTTGTTTTTCACTCTCCTTTCCCAACCCCATCGAAATGTCTGAACGAACACTTCACATCCTTTGAATAGGACCAAAATTAGGTTTTCATCGCCTCATATGTCAATCATCAATCCCAAAATATTCCCCACCTGTGTTTACGGCTGTAACATTTCTCCCAAATGGCTTATTCATGCAATCAAATATAATGTGGATCATAGTTTCCACAGCCTGTATGGACATTTCTGTTGTTGGAACACTCATTGGATTTATAAAATAATCAATAGAATTATACGTACCACTTGGCTGAAGCTACTGGTTACGGCGCACAAAGATTGTCTTAAATACAACAGTTCTCTATCAGTCTTTGCTCTCTTCTTGTTGAGTTCATATAGTGGCTTGCACATCTTCATTGGCTTGCATTCTCCTGCGCCGCCGTTTGGCATCCGGCATTGTTTATCTGAAAGGCAAATGTTTCTCGTTATTACGTTAGTTTTATGAATATCTCGTTATCTGAATATGCTATATCTATGCATTTAATGAAATTGGAAAAATGTCACATGTCTATACATTATGTATTTATTACTTATAACAAAAAAAAATATTTGTTCGTAATTTGCCCTATTTTCGGGTAATGTCCGAAACGTTTGAACCATTTTGGCCAGGATTCTGACAAGTATAGATTGTATGCAGGAGTAACTTTATTTCTGCTGCCAATAACTTGTATAAATATATACTTCGGTACAGATACGATAAAGAATTGAGAACCTTTGGTTTTGTTACAAGTTACAGATCTATTTCTACATCTTCTATATATATTTATAGATCTATCTATCTATACATATTATAAAAATGAAGTGTCTGTTTGCAATATCAAAAAAAAATCCAGATTTCGGGAAGAAGATGTATTTGCGTTGCTGATGACGAAAATCCCATTTAAATAAATTTTGTCCATCTGTCAGCAAGCCGCGTTTGATCAGGGTAATGTCCGAAACGGCTTGGCATATTTCGACGGGACTTTCAGTGGAAAGCTACCATGGATAGGCATATTATAGGCTACTTTTTTTATAATTTCGAGCTGTCCAAATTTGCGGTAACGAAGTTTGCGGTCGACAGCTCGTGCGCATGTGTATTTCCGAAGTAGAACGTTTTAATTCAATGTAGTGTTAGTTAAACGTAGTTATTTATAAAATGTGAGATCACATAAACATTGGAAAATGAGTCACGTTGTAACACTTAGCATCTGTAACCAATATGTGTTTTGTTTAGTATTGAACCTAGGATCGTTTTTGTATCTTCTTTTTTTATTTGATTTTTTAATATCTGTGAGTATAAATTTGGTTTTAACACGTTAGGAATTTTGATTCGTAGTTTCCTCAATCTTGGACAAAATGATATTTATGCCTCCTTTGACATGGATATATTTGACCTTGTCTTTTGAACTATTAAAAGTCTTTTACTCAAGATCCGACCAATGAAAATGATCACTTAATTTGAATGGATTTTGGTGTTCATAAAATTTGTCTCGTTATGTCTCATTTACCATCTTTAAATTCTCACACGTATATATTCGAGTTGAGTTATTAAAAAATACTACGATAACTAAATGTTGATTGAACTTCAAAAGTTTGAATTTGTATCACAATTTTTTTATAAATTAATTGAAAAATCTATTGTCTTGTGTAAGTTTTCATGTGATTTTGTTTACCAACCTGCATTTATAAATTCCGTTAGATATAACACAAGTACTAAACACGATATGTGGAACTGCATTTCGAATACTATTTGGTGCAGTGCGGCACAAGCGGCTCGGTGGCCGTTCGAAGCGTTACTGAGATGTTGGCGATACGCTAGCTGGGTGGTTACTTTTTACGTTACTTCAAACGATTGGCCTTTTAACTTGTAGTGTTGCATTTGTGTTATGAAAGCGGTCACTGATTCGTAAGTCTTATAATGCGTTGGTATGCGTGTAATCGTTGTATGCGGGAACTCAAAGTTGCATTAGTTTGTTGTTTGGTTTTACTCTGAAAAAAATGGTTACTAAAAATAGAATAGTGTTTTCCTACTTTTTTTATTTTAACACCGAATTTTGTTTCCGAATGTTTTAATGATTGAGTGCCGCAAGAGCGCACGTTTTAGAAGACAAGTGGTTTTATTTTATTAAATTTTCTATAAGATCATCATCATGATCTCCCCTGCCTTATCCTACTCCCGTAGGGTCGGAATATTATTAAATTTTCTATAAGATGTTAATTTGATTTTAAAGGTTTCTTTACAGAGAATAGGCAGTTTTTACCCGTATTGTATAGTTTAATTTTCATTGTGCGTTCACTGTTATTATCAACCTCTTCCCTACTTTATCCTATTCCAGTAGGGTTGGACTCTAGTTTTGTCCTCCAGGTTAATCTGTCTTCCGTCATTTCAGTCGTCACTCCTTGATCATGTCACCTGTCACGCAATCCATTTCCTTCTTTTTTATCTTTCCCATACATACTTATAACTAAAATTCTCCTTATAAAAAATCAAAATGTGACAATTTGTCAATCATTTCAGTTTTTATCCACCGTATGTTTGATATACTTTTGTTAACAAGTTCATTGCTGTCAGAAATATGTTGTGAATCATCGGAAGGCCGTTAGTAATTAAATGTATTAAGAAATAAGTTTCCTTCCCACTTAGGATCTAATATCGGCAAACTGTTGTCTAAAGAGATTTGACCACGTATGTTTTTTTTTTATAAAAATGTTAGTAGATTTTTGATAATTTACTAATATTTCCTTTAACCATTCCAACTAAGCTCTAGGCTTGTGCTAGGATATGTTTATAATACGTGTTCGATCTAAATGCATTATGAGCGCTAGAGCCCCTGCATATTACAGACCTTTTATTGCACGATAGTAATGCCAGTATGATGTAGGGAATTGCGCAAATTACGCTGGTTTTCTTTAATTTTACACTAGCCGTTGCTTGCGATTCCACCCGCTTGCAATTAAATATAGTCCATGTTATTAACAGATAAATAATCTTTCTAAAGGTGAAATAATTTTTAATATCGACCCAGTAGTTTTTGAGTTACATCCAAAATTGAAAAATTACAAATGTTTTATCTTGATAATATTATCATAGACTAAGAGCGTCGTTATGAATGTGGTACACCGGTAGAGGCAGACTAGAAGTTAATGGATGGTTTGTGTGAAAGGTGATAAGAAGAAGGTAGTGATGACTGAGATGACGGATGATAGAGTTATGTGGAGGACGAAAACCCTGTTAGCCCTATGAAAGTAGGATAAGGTAGGTGAGATGATTTGTTTCATATGATTTTTGCTTGATAGCCCGACCCGATTAGTATCGACCGATAAAAAGGAAATAAAACTGCGGATGTTAAGTGAATCATTGAGGAAATATATGGATGTTATTATTTTCAACAAAAAAAATGAAAATGAGGCAATCTAAAACAAATGAATAATCAGGCCACGTAATGTTATTTTATATTTATAATCTATATGTTTAATATAAATAAAAAAATGTAAATGTAGAAAAATAGAACATAAGCTTCAGGATAATTATTGACGTATTTGTGGTTAAACCTGTATCGTAAACATGTTATATGCGTCAATTTTCTAAACCTAAAGTTTTGAATACCTTATTTAGTAAACCTATGGCTTTTGTGGTATTTAAATTTGGTACCAGTATTTCAGTTATCGCTTTTACGTATAGAATTGTCCTTGTATAAAATTCCCTTGTGTTAATATCTGTATATATATAAATTAAACAAATAATCCTGTGGTATGTTTTATGTGATTCACGGTTATGAGTCAGTGATATTTCTCATGTGATGAAATCTTCGAATTACTAACCCATGTTTGGTAATGTTTTGTAATATTTTTCATATTTTATTATTTTTGTTTATTGTATACTAGTTGTTGCTATCGACGTCCGCGTGGAATTTAAAAAAAATAGTAAAAAATATAGCCTACTAGCTGTTGCCCGCGACTTCGTCTGCGTGGTATTACAAAACAAACGAACTTTATGTAAATAACAAAAAGCTACGTATCCCTCGGAAACCGGCAGTTCTCAGAGATGAACCTTATCCCATGTGTACTCCAGACTTTGTTTTATATCTGAGCCGAATTTCAATAAAATATGTTGAACCGTTGCAGAATGATCGAGTAAAAATTAAAAAACTAAATCTATGAATCCCACAGGATCCGTAACTATTCCCGGGATAAAAAGTAGCCTATGTGTTCTTCCAGACTATACTCCAAACCTGTGCCAAATTTTATGGAGATCCGTTCAGCCGTTTAGGCTACAAACGCTAACAAACATCCATCCAACTAAACTTTCGCATTTATAATATTAGTATGATATGATGTTACTCATTGGTTACGTAGCTTTTTAATGGTGCAAGAATTTGAAATCGGACCAGTAGTTTTTGAGTTTTTTTATCACAAATCCAGAAATTTGAAATAATCTATGAACTTTGTATATTTCTTTCTGTCGGGTTTAAAAGCACTATCTAATAGTAATGTGTTTCTTTGTTTTCTTTATCATCATCATCACCAGCTCACTATACGTCCCCACCGAGGGGCTTAGAGCCTACCCTAATAAGGTGCGACTAGACTATAGTCAACTACGCTGGCCCACTGCGGGTTGGTTGACTTCACACATATCTTTGAATTTCTTCGCCGATATGTGCAGGTTGCATCACGGTGTTTTTATTCACCGTAAGAACCTCGGGTAAACTATGTACATTTGAAATAAGTATTGGTTCATGGCGAGATTCGAACCCAAGACCCAATATTACAAGTCAAGTGTTTAAATCCCTGATCCACTGATGCTCAAAGCTCGTTCGACGCTATTCTGTGACAAAGCTTACATATAAAAAAATATTCATGCTCGTATGAACAAATAGTGTCTACCAAAAACCTAGAATGAGATAAAGCACTGCCTCCAGGGATACAGGTAGGAAGGCAGAGCCCCAAGGTATCGTAAACTAATTAGTCCCTTTCCACTTTTTTTAAAAGTAAGGGATGCAAAAGAAAAAGTTATTTGACGATGGAGGAGGCGATAGGATGGGGAAATATACTCTTTATGTGCGTCTTCTTCTCCGTTGATTAAGGGTTAGTCATTTGCAATTGCGGTTGTCTAAGGGCAGTGGTCGCTTCGCCATATCGGCGGTTTTAGGTGGCCGATTGCTCATTTGCTACCTTATAATATAAAAAATGTGATTTATCTTCTTTTATGTTTCTAGTGGGTTTGTATGTATTCAATGTTACTATCCTTTGAAATGTCATTAGGATCGTGTTCATCCGTTTTTACTACAGTTACAGTGATTAATTTTTTGCATAAAAATCCTAGTTCTGGTATGTTGTCTGTAATGTTTTGTCTCTGTTTGTACATTTCTGTTTGCCTTCGAAGATGAATGTTTGCAAATTGAAACAAAGTATACATAGTAAGTAATTATTTTTAATTATAAAATCAATTATTTCTAAGGAGTTATTTCCGACCGGATCCATGGTAGATATTCGTACACTTTTGTGTATACGCCAGGTATGTTCTCAAGTC